ATTTGTGATGTGCCACTCTCGTAACACAAGTATTGTCCCTTATGTATTTTCCCCGTTGCTGCTTAGCTCACAAAATTAGCTGTAACCTCGTCGGTAATAGTAGTTACTCCTGATATTATTCCTGTTGGGTTCTCACATGTGGGTGTAAGCCCAGCCCTACAGCGGTGGCTGCAAAGTAGCTTTTCCATGAGCAACTGCTACCTCGAATGCGACTTGAGATGGCAAACGTCGAGTTATGCTGTTAATCAGTGCTGATCTCTTCACGAGGTGGCTTTTATACGTGTTGAGTTCTACTATAAAACACGCTTGTCGAAATGGGAATTCCAAGAACGAAACTGATTTCACTCAAGTAATGAAAATGAAGTTCCTATGGCATTGTGTTGAAACTGAAATTTTTATTATCACACTTTGTCGAATTTGAAGTCCCTAGAAGAGTATCTTTAATTATGCCTCGCCTGCCCGTCCAAATAGAAGTCACTATCGTTTAGATAGGTAATAAGAGGAGTATGAGGAATGGTGTAGTCGTATGTATTCCGTTTGTCATCCGGGAAGTCGCGAGTTCAATTCTCGCCGGTAAGTTTTCTTTTATTGATATCGTTAGTTTTTGTGCGGTCGGTGCTGACAAGCCATTCAGCAGTAGCAGATCCATGATGGGAACATGGAGTACTGTAGATGATTAAAATGATAATGTACTGAGTATGATAAACGGTATTCACTCTTGAGATGGCGCCTCGTAAATTCGGTCTGTTGTCGAACATTCTGAATCAATGTCGAAAATGTAAACATTGAAACTCCACCTGTTTCTCCTCTTCGGGTAGTTAATGAACTACAAGAGAAGACCCTCCTCAACCACCTCATGGTAACATCAGGAGAGCCGCTACAGAGCTTCTCTTTATAGCGCTGCTGTGTTTATTATCGCCGCCCGCCATGATGAATAAGAACACAATTCCACAAGGGTGTGGATGCAAAGTATAACAATCTGAGTTTATTATTACATGCTATGTTCTATGCTGCAATGGTATCACTCTTGAGGAAGGGAGTATATATACGGATCTTCACAGTGTGAAATGGCGAGGAAAGGGCTGAGGACATTTGGGAGGTAGTGATTATGTAATATAACGACATAATTTGATAATGAAAATTAACACACAATAGGGTAGAAAGATCAAGAGGAAATTTATATACCTCCATGCTTTGGATTTTCACCTCTCTTAATAGGACCTTGCCTCGGCTAGATGTTACTCAAGAATAGGTAGCAGTACAGCAGTAGAAGTCTTCAAGACGAATTGTTTGGGTCTTACTACTACGACACTTCACTTTACAAGATCACTGCTCATTCGAGTGTGTGGGTTGTATGTCGAGTGCGCTAAAGAGTATAGTAAGATCACTGCTGTTGAACTCAATATGTATGAATGAGGATGCGTAACCACACGTCCATTAAGAATTAGGCTAATGGATGCTGTGATGATTACAGAGGGATACTCATGCACTAGAAGTGACATTAATCGCAACAATAGGGAGATAGATCTCTTCATGGACTTGAAGTTGATAGTTACATCGTCATCATCTTAGAAACTACCATAAAATGCTCTGCAGAGCTTGCCTGCGGACGACCATCACAGTAGCGACTTGACGTATTTGAACCTGGTGCACCCGAAACCCCGGAGAATAGTGCGGACAGAGCTGGGGCGAAAAAAGGAAAAAACTATCAACAATTCTTTCGACTGTAGTTGAGGCTCTAGCTTGCGCGTTGTGTGTTGGACAACTTTGTGCAACGTGGGGACAGGGAAGGGTTGTTGGTATCCTTACACTGCGTTCACAGATCAAGGCTTGATGTCATCGGTTTGCATATATTGAAAATTCTGGAAATAATATGAGGGCATTTGTGTGAGGATGAATCTTACGATGAAAATACGTAAATGACGGGAAAAGCTTTTACTTTTATCTTTATTATCATTATCATTATTGTCGTTGTTGTTGTTTTTGTTGTTTTTGTTGTTTTTGTTGTTTTTGTTGTTGTTGTTGTTGTATATGTTGTTGTTGTATATGTTGTTGTTGTATATGTTGTTGTTGTTGTTGTTTTTGTTGTTGTTGTTGTATATGTTGTTGTTGTATATGTTGTTGTTGTATATGTTGTTGTTGTTGTTGTATATGTTGTTGTTGTAGTGATCATAGCCTCTAGTTGGGTTGAAAGGCCTGCAGTGTAACAAGTACGAGAGCCTTTTGGATCCGAATCCGTGTGAGTCTACTGACAACACAGTGCACCATGTTAGTGATTTGCCAATGGAAATTACACTACACGACAAGAATGCCTTCCAAGGTTGCCTGTTCATACTCAAACGAGGCGCATGAGCTCAGCTGAGGAGGTCCTTGAGCCTAGAAAGATATATTGTGTTCTAAGGTGGATTGGGACAGAGACAATAATGATGTAGCAGCATCTTACATCGTAATTTCACGCAAGATCAAATCCCGCCGAAAAATTTTGATTAAAAAAAGTTCCCTTCAACGTTGTTGGATGATTCGAATTTTCAACCTGAATTTTCTCAAAAATAGAAAATGTAGAATTTCAAGAACGATTTTGTACTGTGACATTGTGAAAGCTTCCGAGCAGCGAATTCACTTTCCGATTTAATCTTAGTTCTTCTTAAAATTTCCTAATGCTGAGCAAAGGCATCGCCCCTACAGGTAATACTAAGGGAAGCAGTGTTGGTGTAGGAATATACGTTCGCTTTCCTCAGCTGAGCTCAGGAGCTTACATATAAAATCAGGTATAGGTGTATAGAAACCAATGAGAATTTCACTAAATCTCCTCGAAATTTTCGTATTATCACCAACACGTGTAGTTGATTATGTGCGTACTTTCCCCGTAGAAAAATAAAATATTTTTTCTGTATGGCACTTTATTTCTCATCGAGTTGTTGAAAATGTTAAGCGTGTACGAATAAGCAGACATATATGAGATTTCCCGTTTGAAGTTTTGAGGCTGATTTTTTTGTGCAAAAAATTTTGAAGTTTTTTTTCATATTTTTCTTCGATACCATAAATTCGCGAATTATGCTAGCATGTGATATACTCGCAGTCATTGTTTGTTTTCGGTTGAAATAGAAAATAAAATTTGGTAAAGTTGTGGTAGGTTGATTTTAAAAAATTCAGTCGCCTCATCTTCGCGACGTGCATGTTCCCTTTTTCGGTGGGGGAAAAATATTTTTCTGCGTGCGCGATATGGGGAGGGGAATATGCGCATGGTCAACTACATGTGTTGGTGACAATATGAAAAATTTGGAGAAATTTCGGGAAATTTTTGTTTTGTTTCTGTGCACTTCTACCCAAATTCGTATAATTAGCTTTGGAAACTCCTCCTGAGCTCAGCTGAGGAAAGCGAACGTATATTCCTACTCCAATACTTCGCGCGTCGAATCTACCACTACTTTCCAGGCCCACGAGGAAGTGTAAAGGTAATGCCCGACATTGTGGTGAAATCATCACCACTTTCGGGAGCGTACGATGATGATGATGAGTAAGTTGGAGGTGATTTGACAGGAGTGTGGTATGCTCGCGCGCGCAACGATGATGATATTAAGATACGATCCGATGCATCCGAATGATTATGATGTTATTAATAAGGAACGTAAGAGGAAAGCTGAGGAGGACGATATTAGTGAAAGAAAAGAAATTGCAAGTAATACGCGCATCTACAGGGCGTTTGTGGTTGATAAAAAACTGAGATAAAATGATAAACAGAACGGCCTGGAAAAAATGTGCAAAATCGCGTTGTTAGAGATGTGCGGTGTGGTGTAGTAGATGCCAGGGAATATAACAATATAAGAGAGCCTTCTAGTCGAAATTTCAGTTTCAAAATTGTTGTGTGGAAAAAGTTACCTCTGCACACGTATTTTCGGTGTCTAGATGTCACGTACTGTATTGTGTATAACTTCGAAGATAGCATGTGAAAGCGTTTGCTAAGGTCTTTGCAATGATCTTACTCTCATTAGAGAATTCGGTGATTTCTGCCAAGTCACAGGGAATAGTACTTTTTATACTCGGGAGTCAATAAAAGAGTGATCTCAATTTTCTAATTGGCTATCAAACACGACGTTCGACTTTGTTAGGAATCGCGGCGAAACCGGCGGTCCAAAAGGACTCAGCTGGAAGCAAACTTCTAAAGAAAATGGGATGGACCGAAGGACAAGTAAGAATTCATTTGGGGAAATTTATCACTTTTTAGTGAAAGTGAAGTGTGGCTGTAGTTTTCACACGGTGATCCTTTCCTCTGTGAAACCAATTTGAATCGATTTAGCGTCCCAAAAAATTCAACTGAAGTAATTTCTGTCAATGAAATCTCACAACCCGCTCTACGTGAAGTGTGGAAAACGCGATATGCAGTGGTTGGTAAAATATGTTTTTCATATCACTAGGGTGGTGAAACTCCAGTGAACTATCTCAACGTAATGGGAGACTCCATCACTTAGGCCTCCTCGAAAAGGTTCCTAGGGAAGACGTGATTTCGTATATCTCCTGTTGTATTAAGAATCAATCTTGAAGTATTATGAAAAGTTTTCATTTTTTCTCTCAGGGGCTGGGCGTTCAGAATCAAGGAATAACAGCGCCGTTGATTCACAAGAAAATCGATGCAACTCAGGGGAAAATTGAAATTGGAAAAATTTCGGTAAGAATAGAAATAGTTGGAGATGACAGAATAAAAGTTCAAAAGATATTACCACCAAGCATTGGTCAATCTCCGCCGACACCAAGTGAAGTTGAAAGTCGAATTATGTTGTTGAAAAATATGGTCGATAAAGGCGAGGTTGATGAGGACTTACAAGAAGATGTGAAGGAAGAGTGTGAAACGTAAGTGGTCATGTTTTGGACCTATTTTGAATCTTACCAGCGTGAGCCTAAGATACGGCACGGTGGAGGAGGTGAAGGTTGTCGAGGTTGGTGACGAAGTGAGAGTATTCGTTGTGTTTGCTGATGTTACTGCATCGCAAAAAGCCAAGAAAATCATGCACGGACGGTAGCTTTTGCAAAATTTCTTTTATGTCTGGTATTTTTTCTTCTTCAGAACTTTCGACCAAAAGCGTATCGATGCGAGGTATTATGATGAAGACAAGTATAAAAAGGGTGTTTACGATTCTTGATTACGGAAATAACAAGTTGAGTTCATAAGTTGATAGTGAACACTCACGGGTGATTGTCACTTCAGCTACTCTGAAAAACTACCAAACGTGAATTCGTATCGAGAAAAGAAGACTCCAAGTTGGTTCAACTATAGATGGGCAGAACTACGTTACGGACCGTTATGGTTCCGACTCAAGTCTCGTACCGCAAAATTACGTAGATGCAGAGGACAAAACGAGGATTGATAATTCAAGTCGCCTAAATCTATTTCATGTGAATGGCCACCCGTAGACGATGCCGGCTTGGGAGTAGGACGGGCCAAGTTTGCAAAGGAGACGAGTAGTAAATGCGAAACCAAATGTTGCTCTCTCAGCGGTTGGGTCGAGTTCGAGCCACAAGAAATGAGTTTAACAACTATTTGAGCTATGGTGGAGTGCGTTAGAGCGAAAGTTTCCGCCACAATTCTCGAAAAGTCGCAAAGCCGAATCACTAACATCGACTACCTATAGTATGGATTGACGACCCTATCACAACCTCAAGTAGATGCGTGCTAGAGATATTAGAGCGCGCCAATGTATATGCGTGCATATTATGCTGATCGATCATTACGAGTTAGCTATAGTCTTAAGGTTGCCCTTTTCTCATATATCGGTCCATACCGATCTGTCCTGTTCGTAAATTGCGAGCTGGCCTTCTATCGTTAGTTCTCTACGTCTCCCTCAACAAGACGTCACTCACCTATGCTTAGTGTCACATTACACGCATGCCCCAACTCGGGTGTGACGCGCAGGTTCGCGACTCTATTGTCATCCCACAGTCACCAGCACTTCACGGCCCGATCAGGCTCCGAGGATGATTAATTCGGCGTCTTCAGTTGGTATCCATCCCTGCTGCCCAATCATGATGCTTCGTCATTCCGCGATTGTGCACATCCTAGTCGCTACACTTATCAATTCTCCGGTTATCAAGGCTGTGCCTGTGACGGTTGCTGTTACCCCTCTTGATGAATTCATGCCGCGGGATTACCTTGACTTGTTCAAATCGGGTGTTAAGCATGTTGTACTCGCCGGGAACTTGCTCTCAGCGGATGGATCCATTATATTCCTTGGCGAATGGATGACGGTGCCGCTGGCCAAGGAGATACACAACTATGCTGTTCAACACAATGCCACCGTATCCATAGGCATCGTGCCGCAGCTCTTCATAAACAATAACAGAAGGAGTCTACAAGATTTCGTTTCGAACGGTCAAACTACTCTCAACAAATACTATGTGGACGGGCTTCTCTTTCAATTATGGCCGGTTACACCAAGCGGAAAAGAGTGGGAAGTGGTCAACAGTTTGACTTCTATCACTCGTAGCAAGTTGAGCTCGAGTAGAGGAAACGCGGCTACGGCTTCAATCATGTAGGGCATAAGGACGGAAGACCCTGTCTCAGACAGGGCTGTCTGTGACTGGCAATCACCCTCTTTTCAGGTTCAGTGGCGAATCTCTATCATCAAGCCTTTGGGAAGACTTAAGATTTTATCAGCCATGGAATTATGCTGATAAATACTATAGCGTCCTGTATAGCCGCTCAGTGGATTTCAAAACTCAAATAAGCATCGAATGGGCAAGCAACATCACCCAGCTATTCGCCAACATGTCTGCGAATATCTCTGACTTGTCGCTCACTGTAAGTCTGCTATACCTCAGTGATGTATAATATAGTGGCTGGATATGGCGTGTTCTCAGATAATCCCGGAAGGCCGCTGGAATAATTTTAGCGATGGTAAGTCTTATCGAGAGTTGATCGATGACGGTGCACCAGCATCAGGGGATGGATACTTCGACGGCTTCTACTACAACTCACAGAAGCAAATCAAGGAAAAGGCCCAGCTTGTGAAGACGAGACGCCTAGATGGCCTCACCATATTTTACCCTGTCCTCGATCTCCCCGCTACTAATGCATCCTCTCTGCTGCATGCAGCCGTTTCTGGATAGCTCAGTAGCTTTCAGAGCCGAGAAGGGCTCTCATTCGTACCCTGTGGATGGCACATATTTTCACTTGAAAGAGATGAGTACGTAACCGTCAGCGAATAACCGTTATTCAATAACGTATATTCAACGCAAACCTGTTGTTATCCTACAAACTCACATCGTATTTCGTGGTTCTTGTTGTCTCGATTCTCTGCTTTTTTGATCGTAATATCAAAGTCCGAATTCTTGCTATATATTTTGATCGACTGAGTTTCAGTTATGAATGGAATTCACAGGACTGTGGGCGATTCGGGTAGTTAACAGACTGCGAGGTACATCTTCACATTAGAGCAAACTTGAGAAGTGGGCCGAAGAGAGTGGGGGATACTCCTGAGGAGTAACTCCTCGAATCATCTTCGGGAAAGAATATTACTTGTTGAAAGACGGTTTTCTGATAGCTCGACAGAGCTAATAAAGCCCTCAAAAAACAGATGTACAGGACATCATGTGCTGTTCCGAATGGTTACACCGAGCCTGTGAATAACACTCGGTGAACACTCTCAATCCTCACAGTATCAGGTGTTGCTAGTCGCGTTGCTGAAAGTATTTCGAAAAAGCTCCGCGACCCACAGGTGAGTCACTTGAATTAACTCTTCTCGTAAAAGCTCAACGAACGCAAGATATTACTATTGGTAGGTCCTGGCCGGGCATATACTGTGATGCGACCGAATTTGTCAACCGAGATGCCACATCGGAGATGATTCATCTCAGATGAATCACAGGCATCATGTGATGAGACCGAAGATTGTCTCATAGAAGAACCACTTCCCTCTCGTGTCGGAATGCATATCTCTGTTGCCACTGGAATATCTGCCGGCGTCCGTCGTCCCCGTCGTTACTGGTCCTCAGGCCGAGTTTGTGGCGTGCTCAGGTCTGGCGTCCTGGATATCTTATGGGACGGCTCCGAAACGGCTGGCTGTGAAACTATCCGAGTTGATGATACTGGAGTCAAAGCGTTGCGATAATTTGCATGATTTGTTCCGTATCTATCCGTAGCCATCTGGCTCAAGATCTCAGTTGGGCTTTTGTTTTACCCAATTAGGATCGAACAATGCGCCGTCGAGATTTGGTTGTTGTTACTGACCAATACCTCAGTCACTTGCTCTCCTACGTGATGCCTTAAGCATGCTCGAACTTAAGTGCGAATATGGCATATTGTAAGCATCTTAAGCGATAGCCGCAGCACAGTTGTTAACTCCATGATGAAACATGATGATCATTTTTCCGTGAGAGGAAAATGATAACATGATGTTTCCAGCAAGCATTAGTAATGTTACATTACGGCTAGCGAAGGTATAACACCTACTTCACAAAATTCGTTTATTGGAATTTGCTTCTAACCTCAGAACCTTCTCCACGAGGAATAGTGTGGTAAGATGCTTGGAGCTCCTTGGCAAGGAGTCCTTGTGCCCACCAGCTGAGAATCTTGGCCAGAATCCATAGAATAGATTAGTCGAGCATCCCCGCGCGTCACTCATCAATGAATCGATTTGTCACTTATTCGCATTCCTGCCCGAGAGGAAGAAGAGCGGAACGGCCCTAAATCGAGTGAATCTTATGCATCTACCTCATGGACGACACAACACGGGAAGGAGATCAATCATGGAATCATGGGAGGACACTCTATCGCAAGTTGTCATCTACAACCGTAAAAAAATAAGACCTTTACCAAAGGCAGCCTTGTCAGAAGCCTTTGAATTCCAAAGTTTGGAAGGCTTTATAAGCCTTTTTTAACTTCACCAAGTGAAGTTGAAAGTCGAATTATGTTGTTGAAAAATATGGTCGATAAAGGCGAGGTTGACGAGGACTCACAAGAAGATGTGAAGAAAAAGTGTGATACGTAAGTGGTCATAATTCGGACCTATTTTGAATCTTACCAGCGTGAACCTAAGATACGGCACGGTGGAGGAGGTGAAGGTTGTCGAGGTTGGTGACGAAGTGAGAGTATTTGTTGTGTTTGCTGATGTTTCTGCATCCAAGAAAATCATGCACGGACGGTAGGTTCTGGAAAATTTCTTTTATGTTTGATATTTTTTCTTCAGAACTTTTGACCAAAAGGCTTTTGGCTTTTGAAAAAAGTGTATCGATGCGAGGTATTATGACGAAGACAAGTTTACGATTCTTGATTACGAAAATAACAAGTTGAGTTCATAGGTTGTTAGTGAACACTCACGGGTGATTGTCACTTCAGCTACTCTGAAAAACTACCAAACGTGAATTCGTATCGAGGAGAGAAGACTCCAAGTTGGTTCAACTATAGATGGGCAGAACTACGTTACGGACCGTTATGGTTCCGACTCAAGTCTCGTACCGCAAAATTACGTAGATGCCGAGGACAAAACGAGGATGGATAATTCAAGTCGCCTAAATCTTTTTCATGTGAATGGGTGTAAGATACCGACGATATCTAAATAATAATCAACCTATTTCAACCTATTGTCCAGTGGTATCTTCTGTGTGCGTTGTTCATATCCTTCATTGTATCCTTCGCTCGCCATTGGATACTTGTAGGCGTCACGAAGCATGCTGGACAACCCCTAGATAGATTTGGGAGTATCATGATCATCATTGGGCCTGTTTCATAGGAGCAAATTGCGCCTTAAACTTAAGTAACGCCTTAAGTATACCTTAAGTAATTAGGCCATCCTATTTCACTACTTAAGTAAGCACGTTAAGGCGCCTTAAGTTTAGGAATACTTAAGGCGCCTTAAGTTTCTGTGCATATACTTAAGTATTTACGAGAAGCATTTCACAACATGCGTACTTAAGGAGCAACTTAAGTATTCCTTAAATTTTATTAAGGTAGAGCCGACCCTACCTAAACGGATACTTAAGTACCGTGTTTGAATATTGCAGCCCACAGGGGTTGAACCAGGGACCGTTCGAAGTACGATGCTTTGATATTGCATCTCGCAGGGGTCGAACCGGAGACCTTACGAATGGCAGCACGGTGCTCTCCCACTTGTCCAGAGAGGCAAAGAAATCCTACCAAGAGTTCATTCCCTTCACGCAGCAAAAGCCGAACCGAACTTCACAATATGGTTACCTTTAAGAATCAGCCACTGCAAAACGTCGAGGAGGCAATGTTTGCTGCTTGTGAACAGGAGATGAGGATCTGGGTCAATCACAGTCATCTCGAATAACTCTGATTGACCCAGATGCTCCAGTGGATGGTGTCGGGAACGCTCGTCGCAAGAGCTACGTTCGCAGATAGTTGCAGCGACTTAGTGATATTTCAGTGATTTGCGTCACCGTTGAGTTCACATGAGTATATTTCTACTTAGCGAACCGTTGAGTGACTTATTCTAGCTAACATTGTAATTCGTGGGAAATCCCCTTGCAGCTCGTTACCAATAGTAACTTACCATTGATACCTTACCCATGATCGAGGAAAGTAGTTGCGAAACAGTAAACGACCATAGAAACAGCATACCTCAGATTTGTACCTGTACCGATCCTATGGTTAACGAACAACCTAACCACTGGAGCATTTACACCACAAAACTAAACGTGTGATTCTATTCTATACCTGTAACCGTGGTTAAGTAGATACTCAAGTACGTCTTAAGTTAAGGAGCTCCTTAAGTTGCTCCTAAACGTTGTGAAATGAGTTGAGTACTTCTTAAGTATACCTTAAGTAACTCCTTAAGTTGCTCCTATATTTAAGGCGCCTTAAATTAAGTATCCTTGTGAAACAGGCCCATTCCCTAATCGACTGGTATTGGTCTACTTTGACACCGGTGAATCTAACATGGTGAGTCACCAATTCAGTTCTACAGCTGTCACCATTGGTGACAGCTGTAGAACTGAACTCCTCCATCAACGCCGCCTCTACTCGAGAAGATCTTTCCCGGCTACGGTCAACGACACGTCGTCTTTGTACCAACAATTTCAAGAAGCGCGCCGAAGTTCAAGAGCGTTTGGCTGACAACGACATTGACGACAACAAGTTGGCGCTATTGGAGACTGAGGAAGCTACGTTAGAAGCAGAGATCAGCGCACTCTCTGGCGCCGCTGACAATGCTTCCAGCAAGATCAATGCATTAATGCGAGAGACCTGCAACACAGTTCATCACGCCGTGGTGAACTCGGCCACTCTATCAGCGGACGACTCCAACGACAACGCCACCGCAAATCCAACTTCTACTGAGTCAGTCTCTGGTCTAGTCAGAGCACTATTTTCGGCACTCAGTCGTCGGCCTTACGACTCAAGAACCGAACGAGCCGATATTATTCGTCTCCCTAAGCAGGGTCGAAATCTTATCGATCCCTATCAGCTTCCAGCCCACGTCAGACGATTGGACTCCAATCATTGGAGAAATGGTTTGCCAGCAACAAGTTTGGTACTTTTGACGACTTGACTAAGGCCTCCGTTGCCGATAAGGAGATGGAAACTCAATTGGTTGAGAAGGCTATAGAAAGTCTCTCATCTCATCGTAATGTCGCCTCAGAGGCGACGCCTCTGAGGCAAACACTTTGGTTGATACCTATCGTGCTACTTGGAATCATGATGGTTCAACCAACTTAAGAACATGCTCATTGACAAGTTCGCAAAGGCCGACGACATCCGTCGTGAACTCGACCGTAAGATATCCAAGCTCACATACAAGGGTCATTTTAATGTCGATGGGTTCATTTCTGAGTTGCGCCAGATCCACACATTGGCGTCTACCATTAGCTCCTCGCCTGAGGATAGTGGTCACTTCATGATGAAGTCTTCATCGATGACATTCTCCGGTGTCTCCCATTCAATGTCCACTCAGTGGACTCCACTGACAAGTAGTTCAAGAAAGTACTCATTGAGTACTACTCAAACGGCCAGGATATGTCGACAAAACAGCTCCTCGACTTCGAGTCCTACCACTAAACCATGGCAGTTCAAGCTACCCCTAGATGCTCCGTCCGATCAGCACTCCATTTTTGGTATTCTCTCGGACGTGGCGCAGTCCCTCTTGGTTTCGACTGACTTTAGAAAGGTGTCACTTGAATCTAACCGTGGCTCTTGTCGATAGGACATGAGAGTCAAGATCTCCAAAGTTAGCGACTCTACTACCAACAAATTGTGGCAACAATACCAAAGCACCACCTAGTGCGATAACTTAAGCTCGTGACGAGCTTCAGTAGACGACGAGCTGCTCGTCGTCTACACAAGGAGGCCAATGACTGGGCGCGGAAGCAGAACTTTGTCGTCATCGTCATGGGGAACATACTTCCGAGCTTTTCGAGCTTCGAGGCTCGATCTCGAATCGATTCTTTCGATTTAGGGACGCCGGTTCGATCCAAGGCTCCGGCATGTTTATGTCTTTTCTATTTCGAAACGTTGCGAACAATGGAGCCACTGAAACCCGGCACCTGCTCATGCGCGCCCCCTAAATTCCTCGCCCGTAAGATACTCAATCCGCCCCTAAATTGCTCCAGTCTCTGGCGACTGAAACTACTGTCGCAATTTGCGACAACGGGAAAGGTTTGGAACGAAGCTTGCCTCGGAGAGCTCTCAAACGAACAATATCAAGAGCGCGCTCCTAGACGATGGACATCGTTGTTCATACACGACTCGTGTAACACGAGTCAGGCGAGTTAGGTACATGTCTGTGGTCTGCGTGGACCTACTGGTCACAATAGCATCAGGATTTCTTCAGAAACTACGAATTTATCGTTGTTCGATGCGGATTTTTTATAATTTCCGAAAGGGCGGGTATTATTTCCAAAAATAATTCCTTTCTTCCCTTTCCTGGGAATATTCCCGGGAATAATAGGGATAATTCCCCACTTTGAAGGTGGTACTTTCAGCCATCCTCCAACAGGATGTCGAGGACTATGCCATGGTCCACGCCGCGTGGAAGATAATAATAACCAAGAGAGGCGCTATACGACATTCCTGTCGAATTCCCAGCACGGGTGCAATTGGCTCAGACATAACGCCTCCAGTTCCAACCTGTGCTGCAGTGTTACGGTCGCAACTCACCAACGCAGTGCCAAAGTTCGACCGAGATAGGTCGCTAGGGATAGTGGAAAAAAGCGTAAAAAATCTCGAGATCTCGGTCCGTTGAGGTGAGTCACGCCAAGACTTCACGTGGAAGTGACGCGCTGCGGTCACGTCCAGTCGCGTGCACCCTGCGGGTTGTCGTCACGACAATGTCGTGACATGCGGAACTGTAATGAGCACATTATGACGCTGTTATTCGCTAGCTGTAATCACCTTCTCCTCGCAACCGGATAGCCATCGTCTAAATAGCAGGACGTGGTACTTCGTCGAAAGCTGCTTTCGAATCAAGAAAGACAGCAGATAGCTTACGAGTCGTAAGTAACGACCATCAGGTTGGAATGTGATCGTGACTCACGAATCGTAAGAAAAGCGATCACAGGCCTTTTGTCTGTGAGACTTCCTGTGCGTGTTGCACACCTTAAAACTTGTGGTAGGAGGATCTGCCCGCTCCTGTTGTCCAGTCTGTTAGCTGCATTGTATCGATTGGTCGCTATACGTAATCCACATATGATCACCATATTATGATGGCCGAACCGTTCGGCCCGAACGGAGTCAATTCCATAAAGAAAATCTCGTCGAGCTGTTCGTACAATCGAGCACAATCGTACAATTTTTCAGATTTTGGCCAACACTTCGGCATATAGAGGAGCCTTTTGATCTATCTGGTAGCCTCCTACGCTTCGTAGTTAAGCCAGAATAATTCTACACGTACGCACGCACAAAGCGAAAGTGCCTGCTGTTGCGGTATATGCTCCGCTCGCTCCGCAATTTGATACCCCCATCTGCCTTCGTGATTGAGTTGTCAGAGTCACTAACATCGACCAGCTATAGTATGGATTGACGACCCTATCACAACCTCAAGTAGATCCGTCACTCACTTATGCTTAGTGTCACATTACACGCATGCCCCCACTCGGGTGTGACGCGCAGGTTCACGGCTCTATCGTCATCCCACAGTCACCAGCACTTCACGGCCCGATCAGGCTCCGAGGATGCTTAATTCGGCGTCTTTAGTTGGTATTCATCCCTGCTGCCCAATCATGATGCTTCGTCATTCCGCGATTGTGCACATCCTAGTCGCTACACTTATCAATTCTCCGGTTATCAAGGCTGTGCCTGTGACGGTTTCTGTTACCCCTCTTGATGCATTCATGCCGCAGGATTACCTTGACTTGTTCAAAGCGGGTGTTAAGCATGTTGTACTCGCCGAGAACTTGCTCTCAGCGGATGGTTTCATTGAATTCCCTGGCGAATGGATGACGGTGCCGCTCGCCAAGGAGATACACAACTATGCTGTTCAACACAATGCCACCGTATCCATAGGCATCGTGCCGCAGCCCTTCATGAGCAATAGCAGTAGGAGTCTACAAGATTTTGTTTCGAACGTTCAAACTACTATCAACAACTACTATGTGGACGGGCTTCTCTTTCAATTATGGCTCAAGTCGATTACACCACGCGGAAAAGAGTGGGAAGTGGTCAACAATTTGACTTCTATCACTCGTAGCAAGTTGAACTCGAGTAGAGGAAACGCGGCTACGGCTTCAATCATGTAGGGCATAAGGACGGAAGACCCTGTCTCAGACAGGGCTGTCTGTGACTGGCAATCATCTTCGTTTCAGGTTCGGTAGCGAGTCCCTATCATCAAGCCTTTGGGAAGACTTAAGAGTTTATCAGCCATGGAATTATACTGATAAATACTACAGCGTCCTGTATAGCAACTCAGTGGATTTCAAAACTCAAATAAGCATCGAATGGGCAGGCAACATCACCGAGCGGCTCGCCAACATGTCTGCGAATATCTCTGACTTGTCGCTCACTGTAAGTCTGTTATACCTCAGTGATGTATAATATAGTGGCTGGATACGGCGTGTTCTCAGATAATCCCGGAAGGACACTGGAGTAATCTCAGCGATGTTAAGTCTTATCGAGACTTGATCGATGACGGTGCGCCAGCATCAGGCGATGGATACTTCGACGACTTCTACTACAACTCACAGAAGCAAATCAAGGAAAAGGCCCAGCTTGTGAAGACGAGACGCCTAGATGGCCTCACCATATTTTACCCTGTCCTCGATCTGCCCGCTACTAATGCATCCTCTCTGCTGCATGCAGCCGTTTCTGGATAGCTCAGTAGCTTTCAGAGCCGAGAAGCTCTCTGATTTGGACTTTGTAGATGACACATATTTCTACTTGGAGGAGATGAGTACGTAACCGTCAGTAAATAACGTATGTTCAACCGTTGAGTTTCAACGCAAACCGGTTGTTATCCCACAAATTCACATCATCTTTTGTGGTCTTATCGTCTCGATTTTTTTGCTTGGGTCATCGTACGATCAAAGTCCGGTTTTTTCTTTCTATTTTGTCGACTGAGTTTCAGGGGGCCGAAGAGAGTGGGGGATACTCCTCGAATCATCTTTGGGAAAGAATATTACTTGGTGAAGGACGATTTCCTGATGGCTCGACGGAGCTAATAAAGCCCTCAGAAAGCAGATGTGCAGCACATCATGTGCTGTTTCGAGTAGTTTCACCGAGCCTGTGAATCACGATGGGGGCGGGGGGCTCTTACGCTCTTTACCACCAGCGACGAGGGGAAAGGTGGTTCAGAGACTTCTTGACCTCAGATGGTCTCGGGTTTCCGTTCAGAACACTTCCCCTCGCCCAAACTCGGTGAACACTCTCAATCCTCACAGTACTACTGGTACTGTACCAGGTGTTGCAAGTCGCGTCGCAGAAAGTATTGCGAAAAAGCTCCGCGGCCCACAGGTGAGTCACTTGAATTAACTCTTCTCGTGAAAGCTCAACGAGACGCAGAATCTTGCTATTGGTAGGCCCTGGCCGGGCATATACTGTAAGGTGACCGAATTTGATCAGACATGCACAACCGAGATGTCACATCGGAGATGCTTCATCTCAGATGAATCACAGGCATCATGCGCCGTCGAGATTTGGTTGTTGTTGACCAATACCTCGGTCACTTGCTCTCCTACGTGATGCCTTAAGCATGCTCGAGCTTATGTTGTTCATGGATTCACCTGCTGTGCGAATACGGCATAATATGCCGTATTCGCAGGGTATATTGTAAGCATCTTGAGCGATAGCCGCAGCACAGTTGTTAACTCCATGATATTTGAGGAAAAATGATAGTTGGTATCGATTATACTCGATTATAGTTGGTATCACTATCATTTCCTAATGGTTAACTCCCTAGACAACGACGCTCTTGAGTTAGCACTGGGAAGACTCGACCTTGAGCCAAGTGACACTGCAGAGACACATCTGAGTAGAGTGAATCCGGTGGCGAGGTCCGTCATGACTAAGAAGGCCTTGTTGTCAGGATCCTTGGCAGGCGGCCAAGTCGGCACAAGATAACCATGGTCCAGATGCTTCCCGCGCGCATCGATGTCCAAGAGCCCCCTAGGTACCCTCGGTGCGCTCACCAGTTTTGCCCTTTTAGTCGGCTTCTGCTCCATGCAGTAGTCGCAACGACTTATCCAAGCTCGTACGTTCCGAGCAATGGAGGGCCACCAAGCGAGACAAGAGATGGCATCTTTAGCTTGTGGGAACGCCCGATGGCTGTCGGCCTCATGCCCGGTGAACATCAGCCATTCTCGTAGTTCCCAGTCTGGGACCACGTTAGTATTAATGATTTGCTCCAGGCCCACTACCTTCCCGATAGGGACAACCGGGACGATAACCTCGCCATGCAAAGTGACGTCGGTTATGACCTTTACGAGACCATCTGTGAAGGTAACCAGTCCAAGGGATTTGGCTTCCTGCGACGTGCGGGTGATATCTTCACCACTGCCGAAGTGGGCATGCCACGCGCTCAGAGTGTCCCCATGGACACGAGTGTTCCCATCGGACGATTGTAACCGACGCAGCTCCCGGAGAAGCTGCCCACTGAGCAGTGCCTTTGCCAGCTTTCAATATCGCCTTGCGTTCACAGTGGGCATTCCCGAGCAGTCACAACAGTATTGGATGTGAATTCCGTCCACACTAGAAATCTGATATTAATTTGACCACACTGAGATCTTCTTCTGTCGTATTCATTCACTGAGGGTTATGTAGCGTAGTACTGATGCACGTGCACTATCAACTATCCTCTTTACTTGCCCAATCTCTTTGAGCTCTCCTATTGCTTCCTATCATCAGTGTCGGACTCGCAGCGGGCACGCACGCCACTCAGAGATTCACAACAACATTATGTTTGACGATTATTCTTACAAGAAGTCTTATGCGTACATCAGTGATCTAGTGGGAAGCAAAGGAGTAGTGTCTTTATCAATGCTTCTCAACTTTGACAATTATGAATTTGCAATCTCGTTAATATTGCATGAGTATATACCGATCCATATTCATTCCTATATCCACCAGAACAACAACACTCATTAATGCAGACCAATGATAACAAGTGCAGTCAATCTATAATACTACTAGTAGTGGTGGTAGCAGGAACACACGAAACCAATTTAGCTGAGCGACCCAAGCAAAAACAGATGAACTTAAAAGCCACTACTAGCAATAACGTATTTACAGTGCGTGCGTCAAGTTTCCTCTTCACCGAGCTGTGAGAATATACCGCTTTCGCCTTCCTTATTGTCATCATCATCATCGTCATCTTCCGAATCGTGCTGAAAATCATGGCGTTTCACAACCCGTTTTACGTGAAGTGGCGAAAAACGCGATATTCGCGGTGGTATGCAGTAGTCGTGAAATATGTTTTTCATATCACTAGAGTGGTCAAACTCCAATACATACGCAATACAACAAAAATAATCATCGAGAAAATCCGAAAAAATTCGGAAACGCATTTGCTTCCAGAGGCGATAAATGACTAATTCCGTAAAAAAATTATCGAAAAATTCTTCCCAAAATTCGATTCACAATTGCTCACAAACAATTACAGCGCTTTACAACACACCAAGTAGAAATACTAAATCAATAATATTTTATTGTATTTATTTGAGTTTAACCACCCTAGTGATATGAAGAACATATTTCACGACTACTGCATATCACCGCGGATATCGCGTACACCACTTCGCGTAAAACGGGTTATGAAACTCCATTAATACCATAAACTTACCAAATCAAAGTCCCATGCACCACTAACCGCTCCGCTGTATCCTGTCCGCGTCTTGACAGCTCTAGGTGATCGATACCTATCATCATACCGTAATTCGATCAACTTACCTCCAACTCACCCTGGAGGCTTCGTAGGCTCCCTCAGCTCTATCGTTGGCAATTGCCTCAGGAGCTCCACGAGGGCTTTTTGATCTGCCTGGCGGAAAAAACCTTCGTGTCGTGTTAGAAGCTGATCCACTGACGGTCTGAAGCGACGTGAGTAGTAATGGTGGTTATTGTCATCAATTTTACAGTAGAAATTTTATGTGGAAATAAATGGAGTTTCACCACCCTAGTGATATGAAAAACACTAGTGAGGAACATATTTCACGACTACTGCATATCATCGCGAGTATCGCGTTTTTCACCGAGTTTTACGCCACTTCACGTAAAACGGGTTGTGAAACTCCAATATACAACTATATGTGTTGGTGAAAATATGAAAATTTTGGGAAATTCCTATCAGTTTCTGTGCACTTCTACTACTCGAACTCATATAATCAGCTGAGGAAACCAAACACATATTCCTACTCCAACACTGCATATATATGTGCATCCGTGCACGCATATATCTATATCACAACTGTCCCTTATACCACGCATACACATAGTGTTGCGGTGCCGCACCAGATGTTGTATAAACTGGCGACCACAACAGAAGTATAGTAGAGAGCCTTCTTACCACTATAGAGACTATATCGCAACGTAAAGAGTACGAGCAGTGCAACTCTGGGCATGCGTGCTAAAGGATACTCATAACAACACTCACCGTCTGCTGGGATCTTTCTGAAGACAATCCGCCACCATTTTTATAAAACAGGAGTCCCAAGGGGTCGATTTCGTTCTCTCCAAAGTCGGTGGAGGATTTTCCAGAATATTTTTCATAACCTGAATAAAGGGAAAAAATCTTAAAATCTTCACAGTGCGCAATATACTACTACTTTCAATGGATGCAAATTTTGGTAAGGTGCAGTGCCATTCGCCAACTCTAATGCGGTGACACCGAATGACCATATATCGGCTCTATAGTCGTATCTACGAGAAACATCGGAAAAAATACGCCAAGTCACGAGAATTTTTTTCCAGTGTAAGGGAGGGAGGGGGTATGCAGACCAGCAACAACGTGTTGCTGACAGTACGAAAAATTTTGCGAAAATTTGGTTTCTACTTCTGAACTCAGCGTAGTGAAGCGACCATATATTCGAAATATACTCGCTTTCCTCAACTGAACTTAGCAGTTTAGTCACAAATTATGATTTAATGAAGTTTCACGACCCGTTTTACGTGAAGTGGCGTAATTTTCTGCGATTTGCGGTTTACAGTGTTTTGTGGGATTCATTTTCCACTAGTTTTTTTCATATCACCAGGGTGAAACTCCAATATTCCAACAACAACACTTACCCGTTTTTGCTCTGCTCGAGGACCTCAGGAGCCATCCAACATGGCGTTCCTACGAAAGTCTGTCGAGATCTCGAATCACGCATAGACGCAGAAACGCCAAAATCGGAAAGATATCTAAAGGTTCATGTGAGAAAGATTCAAAGTAGGCCCAAAAACGGCCTACACTTTTCCGTCCAGACTGAGGAGAATATTGCCAGCTTTCAGATCCCTGTGAATTTGCTGATTCGAATGAAAGTGTCGAAGGGCAATGGCCGTCTCGCGCAGTATATAAGCGATGATCCCAATACTCTAACATAAGTGAATTCTGTCACGCGCCACAAAACTATTATTATTACATTTATGCTGTGACCAGTACGTTTCTTATACTCTCTGATGACATTCTGGCAAGACCCGCCGTTTATCAGAGGCATCACCAACCACATCTTAGCATCAGATGAGGAAAAGGCGGTATGGTACGTAATAACCTGAAGTGATATGGAAATGTTCATTTGTCAGCAACAGTATCAATGGAGTTTCACAACCCGTTTTACGTGAGGTGGCGTCGTAAAACTCGGTGAAAAACGCGATATTCGCGGTGATATACAGTAGTCGTAAAATATGTTTTTCGTATCAGCTCTATGTTTGAGTAGGAATATACGTTCGCTTTCCTCAGCTGAGCTCAGGAGGAGTTCCCAAAGCGAACTATAGGAATTTTTATAGGGTAAAAATGTACAGAAACCAACAAGAATTTCCTCGAAATTTTCATATTATCACCAACACATGTAGTTTACCAATTGCATTTTTCCCCACACTTCGCAGTTAAAACAGTAGCAATGATAGTTGTAAAGTTGAATATGAAAAATAAATATAATGTCAGCTAATGGTTAACCATATAATAGTATTAAATATAAACATATGAGCTATGATTAGAATCAATTAAATATAAATATGAAAGGTACTTCTTCTTGCGCAGCGCCCCTTCAACAAGGCGAGTATAGCTGCAGGCCCAGTCACTGCTTTCTGAGCCTGCAGTATGAACCGGAATATAGTCGATGAGTAGGAAGGCCCACCAGAGACCCCCAGCAGAAGAATATTTTATGTGTGAGGTGATATTACGATTAATAATATATTTATAACCACATTGAAGATATAAGACTAGAGCACACACTGTTATATAACGTTTAACACTATTATGTATAATAATGTAATATTATGTAGTTCCTAGATATCCACACACTACGTATAGTTTTTGCTTACCAGAACTAGTGATAGATGTGATATGAATAGAAGTAAAAGATGACAACACCAAGAGTAGTATTGATAGCAGTTTTGGTAGTAGTAACAGGGATAATACAAATAGGTGTGATATTAGCTGAAATTGTGGTATTATATTCGACAGCATGCATATTAGTGGTAGTAGTAGTGTTGGATTTCTCTAGGTCTTCCCCTATTACGTTCGGATGAGTACACATTTTCATCACTTGTAGTTCTTTCCGAATATCATCAAAAGTAGTGCCGTCCAAACACTCCAAATCAATTACTTTAATAGCAACATATTCACCCGCATTCACACCGGTAGCCACTTTGGCTTTATATCTGACATGAAAAATATCTTGAGGTTGACTACGGTGTCCACAGATAAAAAGATACGCCCTCCTTACACTGTAGCAAATGCGCCATAACCTATAGCACATTCGAGCTCATAGCCCTCAGTAGCAGTCGGCCAGTCGCTGCCCAACTCGGAAGAGGCGTTGCTGCCAGACGGTGTTGTTGTTCCCGTCATTGCTGCTGAAATGTAAAAGTTCAAAATTGCCAAACGATAAACTTCGCTCCGCTAAGACAATTCTCGCTCGCCCAAGTGATCGATTATAGTATGAGCCGCTATTGCGAGCCCTCGTCTCTCAGTCGCAGCGAGGATTGAACCATGGTAGGGGGGAGAGGGGGTCGGTTTATGCAACTTTCACGTGTTCTTTAGAATTCATCACTGGCCTGATGTGTCGTCGTATTTAATTGTGGGTAGGAAAGTTGCATAAACTTTCTCCTGTGTTTTAGGCCAAGTCCGGCAAGACCAACCCCATGCGCGATTTGCGCATCGAGAAGCTCACTCTCAACATCTGCGTGGGCGAATCCGGTGATAGGCTCACTCGAGCAACTCGCGTGCTGGAGGCTCTCACTGACCAGAAGCCCCTCACTTCTACTGGTAAGCCCATTCGGAATTTTTCACCCCTTTTTACCGACGTTTTTCAGCTCGTTACACCATCCGTTCCTTCGGAATTCGCCGTAATGAGAAGATCTCTTGCCACGTCACCGTCCGCGGCGAGAAGGCTGCTGAGATTCTCGAGAGGGGCCTCAAAGTTAAGGAGTACGAACTCCGCGACCAGAATTTCTCCGAGACTGGCAACTTTGGATTCGGCATCAGCGAGCACATCGATCTTGGCATGAAATATGATCCTTCTACTGGTATCTACGGCATGGACTTCTACGTCCACATGGGCCGCCCTGGTCGCCGTGTTGGCGAGCGCAAGAGAAAGTCTGCTCATGTCGGTCGCCATCATCGTGTTTCCGCTGAAGAGACGAAGGAGTGGTTTAAGAACAAGTACGATGGTATCATCCTAAACTAAGCAGAGAAATGCTCTTGCTCACTCACGGACCATTTCCGCTGCGAAAATAAATACTTTTTCGTGTTGTGTTATTGATACAATTCACAAAGTGATTTTGACCGTCGGAGAGTCTTCCAGCTGTGTTCCCCTCCTCAGGGTTTGATAACAATGAGGAAAATGATATTTGCTAATGTGATGACATCTACGTGGGAAACTGATTGAAAAATGTGTTACTGGATGATTCGGTGGTATACTGCCGAGTTCGCGTAGCAATGTGGGAAAATATGCACTGATAGCGATAATATGAAATTTCTGAGGGAAATTTTAGGGATATTCTTATTGATTTTATACACCTCTACCCGAAACCGTGCGGAAACTCGTAAGCTCAGCTGAGGAAAGCGAACATATATTCCTCCAGCACTGCTGTAAATATTGCGACATTTGCAAGCGGTTGATGACAGTAGTTCCACGTCATAGTTTTATTGTTTGTGACTTTTTATTTCAACTTGGGCATTTCGGTGTCGAGTGAATTCAGAACTTGTGAAAGTGAGAGTTTCTAGAGAAGAGATATATAACGTATAGAAACATAAATGTTCTTTTGTAGATTGCCTCAGAAATGTGCCAATTCTAATAAATTCACACAGTGTACAAAAACCGCCAATATTTTTCCTCATTGGCATTAGGTGCAGCACCCAACTAACAACACAAGAGAGTAAATCGGCGTCACCTGTCTTAGTGACGTTCCCCAACCGATATAGAAATCCCTGATAATAATGATGATGAGGAGCTGCTGCTCTACCTCAGAGACTAGTTTTTTTGCCGATGCGAAAAAAGACTAAAAATGGTGATAACTACGACGAATAAAGAGAAATTACATTGACGACAGAGTCGTGCTCAGCTGAGCTGCAGCAGAAAAACTACGACTGGAAATACACGGATGCCCGAGCTATGACTACAAACTGCCGATAATTATAGTGCAAAATAATAACCATCAGCAGAGTAATGATACAAAAGTGTGAGTGTCTCTCTCCTCGTTGTTATCTCACACTGACCGACAACAGCTATGTTCATCTTTGACAATGTTTATATGATAAACTCATTGGGAATCATTTCCACCAAAGTACTTCAAGCTTCTTTCACGAAGTCTGACAAAAAACAATAAACTCATTTTTAATAACATTTTCATTCACTCACTTTTCTTGAGTTTCTGACAAGACCAAAGACGACGATGACGATGACGAACAAATTGCAGATGCTGACGACTCTTGCTGTTGCTGTTCTTGTTGAGAACTGACTGGTGATTCTAGGCGAGAAGTGGCATCTGATACACACGGGAAAAAATTTAAAAATAAAAATATTTTTTCCTTTACGTTTAGTCCTTTGCCACAATCTTGCCATTAGACTAGTTTTCCTCGGTGACAGTTTATCGCTATTCTCAGGGTTGCTCGCAAATGTCTCACTCGAGGTAGTTCCTCTCAGCGGACACGGTGACCCGTCCTAAAGGGGGTGATGATGATGATGATGATGATGAGGAGGGCTTCTCAAGCTGCTTACAGTTGACGATGCATATTCCGCATTGGACAGATATGGAAAGTTAGAATGATATTCTAACTCGTCAAAATTCCACACTGGTTGTTCATCCATGTTGCGAAAATATCTGAAAAGAATACAAAATACAACAACATATACAACAACATATACAACAACAACATATACAACAACAACATATACAACAACAACATATACAACAACAACAACAACATATACAACAACAACATATACAACAACAACATATACAACAACAACATATACAACAACAACATATGCAACAACAACATATACAACAACAACATATACAACAACAACATATACAACAACAACAACAACAACAACAACATATACAACAACAACATATACAACAACAACATATACAACAACAACATATACAACAACAACATATACAACAACATGTACAACAACAACATATACAACAACAACATATACAACAACAACATATACAACAACAACATATACAACAACATGTACAACAACAACATATACAACAACAACATATACAACAACAACATATACAACAACAACATATACAACAACAACATATACAACAACAACATATACAACAACAACATATACAACAACAACATATACAACAACAACATATACAACAACAACAAGAACGAAAAGGTGAAGAAGAGGACTTACATGTGACATTGTATGGTAAGCTTCGTCTCCGATGAAGATGCATGCGGTGACGAAGTCTGACAATCTATTGATGATGATAATGAGGATGGCGATTCGTTATCGACAATCGCCGCCGCTGCCGAAGTAGCCGACGTAGAACTTGCTAGTGATGCCTGAGGGAAAATATTACAAGCATACCAAGAAAGCCCACCAACGCTTTTTTCGAACTGATACGATAAAATTTTCAAAAACAAACGCCATTTTCATGATACTTTGAATGTGCGTCAAATTGCCTATCGTAAAGAGACAAAGAACATTAGCGTTTCACCACCCTAGTGATATGAAAAACACTAGTGAGAAACATATTTCACGACTACTGCATATCACCGCGAATATCGCATTTTTCACCAAGTTTTACGCCACTTCACGTAAAACGCGTAAAACCCCATCCAAGGGAAACAACTAATGATTTTTGTACAGGCATTATCATAAACAGTATAAACACAACTGTCAATGTTTATATAAAATTCAAAACTGTAGGAATTTCTTGCAAATAGACATAAAACTGGTCGAAATTCAGCATTCTACTGCAGAGTATACAGGAAAATTTTTTCTCTCGCAAAATCAATCACAGTTCGAGTAAACCGCAGTTTTGGCCCCCAGGGATGTTGCCAGACGTAAAATTCCACGCATTAAGCTTTAATAATAAAAGCGTCCATAGTCTTAGACTGTAATTATACTTTTGCAGTAAGAGGTCACTCCATGTGGCGTACGGAGGAAACATCATATGTTTGAAGGCATACACTTTACAACCCCTAGCCACGTCCGTGCTCAATGGGCATTAAGATTCACCTCACATCAACTACTTACTAAAAGAGAAAAATAATGAAAAATTTACGATTCGAAAAGTTAATAAAATATTCCAACATAATTACAACTACAACCTTTCGGTGAAAGCGAAAATTCAACAAACAGTGTAGAAAACCCCCTACTTTTCTTCGTGCGGTTTCGTAGGCTTCTGGCATTTGTTTTTTCAATTCTTCACAGTCATCAGGCACGACCATGATACTCCCACGCTCATACCTACAAAGAGGACCGACTTTATCACTAGCAAAAGTGCAAATACAATCTAAAAATTATTGTTGAATTCGCTGCCGTGTAACACACACTGTTTACTGAGCCTGCTGCTGTACCTCTACACTAACTATCACTCCTCGAAGGGATGCTGCGCAGAAAAAAACAAGTCTAAAACTATAGGTGCTCTCACTATCAGAAGTCCCTAACACATACGTCTAAGGCGCCTAGCAAAATCGCTGATTATGAAATATCGACTCGAAAACTGTTCACCTTCTAGGGCATCCCTCCAGAATGTCCAACTCCCTCATTTTAGATGGCGATACTCTGTAGATTTCACTGAGGAAAAATGACATATGTAAAAAGCGCGCGCCCGAAAATTCATCGAACTTACCCTTCAACACGCAAGCCACCACCGGGGATTTCCAGGACGTAGGGAATGAAGTAGTTGGTGTCGTAAATCATGGGGTAGGGGATTTCAGTTCGAGCGGCCGAAATGAAGGCAACATCGTCACTTCCAGCTGGAAAAACGACAGGTGCAGGGATCGAACCTGCGCCGGTGCTCACCCTTGGGTATCATAAGTTTGTGATTCTTCAATCCCCGCTTGAGTGTGCCTACACGAATATCATCGATATCAAATTACATGTTCCAATATCAATCTACAATGCGAACCAGATCTCTCGAGAAATTCCGAGACTATAAACTACTAAAAGTTGTCCATGAACACATATCTTTATCACGTTGATGTTGATAATAAAAGTAAGCATTTGTGGGAAATCCTCAAAACAAAACAGCGTAGGAAAATATGCACATGTTTGACCACATGTGTTGGTGACAATACGAAAATTATGAGGAAATTGTGGCAGTTTCTCATTCGTTTCTGTACACTTCTACCCGAAATTATATGTAGACTTCTAAAATTAGCTTTGGGAACTCCTCCTGAGCTCCGCTGAGAGAAGCGAACATATATTCCTACTCCAACACTAAAACTACTATTGCGTTTTTCTCATTACGTATTACACCACTTCACGTAAAACGCGTAAAACTCCACCATACACTACTGATAACTTCACCAACCGCAACAAACTCACCATAGACAAATACCAGCTGGTCTGAAGTCTCATACGGATAGCTGCCCTCGGGATTAGCAGCAGCACTAGTGGGCGAAATTAGTGACCACGGCGAGCGAGCATTTCGTCCCGTAAGGGTAGGAGACGAATAGTAGTCAGACCTTGGGTGGCCCTCAAGGCTACTTCCCATCGAGAAGAGTGAACACGCGCTGGTGTTGCGACGCAAATCGGGGGAATATTTCGAGTCGGCGAAACTGAGAATGAAAAAAAACATATTTTATTTTTCCTCAATCGATGCCTTATTTTTTCATACTTCGGAGCTGAGACCACAGCGTGCAGTGGAACCCGCAACACCGAAGGCGATCGAACTGTGGGCGGCGATGATGGTCTCTGTGAGCGCCAGGAAGGAGGAGGAGGAGGAATAGAATTGTTGTTGTTGTTGTCGGTATTGGAGTTGTTGTTGCCTTCATTCAAAAGACTCCAGATCGCCCTCCTGAAATAACATCAAATTGTCATACGATACATGATAAAAAATACATTATATGTACATTGGAGTTTCACCACCCTAGTGATATGAAAAACATATTCCACGACTGTCGCAAGGCGCAAATATCGCGTTTTTCACGAAGTTTCACGCCACTTCACATAGAACAGGTTGTGAAACTCCATTAATAAGCAATAGCATCAAACACATATATACATTGGAGTTTCACCGCCCTAGTGATGTGAAAAAACACTGGTGAAAAACATATTTCATGACTACTGCATATCATCGCGAATTTCGCCTTTTTCACCGAGCTTTACGACGCCACTTCACGTAAAACAGGTGAAACTCCATTTATTATTATTATAAGATTCAAGATTCAGGATGGAGTTCCATCCGTGATATGAAAAACACTGGTAAAGAACATATTTCACATTTCACTTGGCAAAAAACGCCGAAGTGTAAGCAGTGAATAACGTGTAAAACACATGATATATTCCTACGGTGCAATTCGCCAAATATTTTCAATTCACTTTCATACCACTTTTTTTTCACAATGCAGTATTACGCCACTTCACGTGAAATGGGTGAATCGATTGACAACGTTTCAAAGGCTTTTCCTATTTTTTAAATTTCACCTTGGACCGCCGGCATCAGCACTCAAACTGTTACTGCTATCCCCACGGCCTCGAGTGGCCGCCAGCGAACTCGACGAAGATGAAGACCTATTTTGGTGACGGCTCTGTAAAGGTGACGAGGGAGCACCAACGGGGATGCCGCTGTGGAACATTATAATACACAAAGACGATTGACAGCTGAAAGAATACACCAAAATCAATCTGTGACGGATTTAATAATACAAGTGTAAAAAACTATGATTGCTATGATTGAAGTGCTTTACATTTTTTAACGTATGATATCATCAGTGACGTATACAAATAAGGAAGCCCTGGAGCTGGTTCAAAGGTTTCCCGAAAAAAAGCACCTACGTGGTGCCCCCTGGAGTAGGAGCTCAGATTCGCCTCAGATTGCCTAGGGCTCCAAAGAAAGCGGAAATTCAGACTATGGCACTGCATGTAGTAGTCAATAATTATAGAATATATTGGAGTTTCACAACTTGTGTGTGTGTGTGTGTAATTGGTGCCGGGCATTACGGGCCTAGTGGCCTATCGCCCTTAAACATACAATCGCCGACTCCAGTGGTCACGAGAGGCTCAACGACAGCTCCCCAAGAAAACAATATATGAGTGAGATAAGCAATGAATGAATGATGAAGTCAGGTCAATGGTATGATGTAAACAGTAGAGTAGAGCTTGAGACAGCTAAATGAGGCAACGAGAAAGTTTAGCGATGCTCAATGCCTGCTGCATAGACTCCTTGTCAATGTAGAGCAGTTTGAATAAGTAATGGTTGATATCCGTGGGGGGATAATAACCGGGAAATGACGAGGATGATGTTGCAAAAAGGCCGGGCATGAGAGTAGTAGGTACAACACCGTGTTGTATTGAGTGCGGAGCACTATGACATGCTGAGGACGTAGAGGGTCGGGTGAATGGGAGCACACCAAGCCGTAGGCGGCACAACAGACTCTGGTCGTTGCGGGTGAAGGTGTGTAGGGCATCAGTAGCCCAAGAGTAGCGTAGATGAACGGCAGGAGACTTTCTGACCCTGGTGACGGCCATCCTGGCAAAGGTGAGCATTCCTCGTGCAGGCGGTGGCGTTGTTGGAGACGAAGGTGAGCGAGAGTGCTACTTCACTTTTCTCGAGGGAAGAATGGTTGCATGACTACTTGGGCTCGAGCGCGTTCATCTACCGCATCATGGGGTCCAAAACCCACGTGGGCCTTTATCCATTGGAGCGTGAGTGAACCTTCTGCGTATCGCACCCGAAGAGGGAGAAGTGACCAGACTTGGAGAAGTAGAGGTCGTATGCTGTATACGGTATACAGACAGAAGTATCCCATTGCTGTCGCTGTGCTGATCTCAACTCTCTGGAGTACTCGCTTGAGGTATCCCAAAAATGGCGTCGTAATATGTCCCAGGGTAGACCTGCTCGTACTCGTGTGTAAATGACTCATCGGTTTTTCCCAAGTCATGGAGACTCCAATGTGCGATTCCAATAGGGCTTGCATGTATCCAGTTTTGTCCGATATTCTTCCCATGAGGCTTTGGCATAATTCCACGTAGATACTCTCCGAGGTGGTCTCGGGATGAATAATGGCTGCGTAGTAAGAGACCAGCGAATCTTCAATGGTGAATGATCTGAATTTGCAGGAGCATGTTGCAATACGTTGCTGATAACTCGACCTCGGAGGGTCTTGGGGGCTGCTGCTACGTGGATAGTTGAGCTACCCATAGGTCCCAAATAGGTATGTGTTTTGAATAATCCGGAGGTGTAAACCATGTATCCCAGCTCGTAGTATATTTCCTCGATCTCCCCGCATCATCGTGGGGGGTGGATGATGTATCCCACTCTGGATGGTGTGCGTCGAGGTCTCCCTCCACTAGAACTTGTGGAGATACGATGATCGTATTACGATCTGTGGGAGATCGACAATCGTTAAGTCCATTGCCGGTCGGGAATAGATGTTACAAATAGTAACCAAATTCGAATACGGTAGGTTTAGTAAGGTAACCCCAACGCCATATATGCGTTCTGAGTGTCGACATAGGCATACTGGTGTGTGGTACGATATGTAAATAACATAATGTAATGCCATTACGGATCAGGCATACTAGACCACCACTCAGTCTCCCCCGTGCTGCTAGCACGGTCTATCGCATAGACCCCTGGTCTATGCGCCACCGAATATCCCGGGAAGTTTAGAAGACTCGTCTCCAAATGATGTGTTTCTTGAGGACATCCCACATCTACCTTCGCTTATTTAAGATACCGTAATAGCTCCAAACGGCTAGACTGTAGACCACCAACGTTGTAGGAGAGGACCGTTAGAGTATGTCGTGTCCACGACATACCACGATAAAACTGCTACATGACTTATATTTAATTGACACTAGAAAGATCGATAACACTTAATATAGCTAAGTGGGGACTAACGCCGTCATCGAGCCATCCTCGGTCACACTCGTAGAGTGGATGTATGAGTGATGGCAAGCCGGCCCCAGTTTCGATCTGACTCTCGTCAGGAACCCCCACGCCACGATAAGGCACTGGGACCAGTGGGGGCACAACTTGTGAAGTGGCGTAAAACGATGGTGACGCGGAAAAAAATGAAAATGGCGAACACGATTCGTTTCGCTCCGCTCCGCTTCTTCCCGCGCAGTTGTCTATTTCCGTATCGCTCAACTACCACTGAATAGTGTCACACTCCACAGTGTGACACTATTCAGTGGTTCAGCACTTGTATTGTCTTACTAAAATTGATCCCAATATCGATGTAGTTGCCTCTGTCAAAGAGTTGCATTGAGTCTCATACACCGACACAGTGTGACACACTGGGTGTGTGTTGGTACTACGGGTTAACAGCATTCCGATAGGAAAGTCTAACCTCTTTACAGTTCTTCCACTTTAGGTCGTATGGCGTGCTGTTCATCCAAAGGATGCCGGTTCGAGTTCCCCGTTGTGCTTTAATCGATGATGCCCACGACCATGTTGTACTCAGATGAAGGGGGATAGAGACCTCTATCTTCTCATGAAGGTTAGTGATGCAAACCCAGTGACAGTGACGTGAATGCCATGATCAGCATCATATAACCCTCCCTTCTGTCATTCGAGATCGTGTATGATTTCAAATACTTGATACATTTCCTCCTGCGTTACCGGTTCACCTATATTGTCGTTCAACTCAACCGTTACCATAAGTTGAGGAGGTAGCCCCTTTATATACGTTCCCGTGGGGACCCATGGTGATGATTGCATTGAATATCGTTTGGCTCCGCCGCCCGACATGTTATTTTGTTGGACGATGTGTGAGTAATATACGTGCCACTTTCAATTGGATCCGGATGGGGCAGCTATGCCACTCCATGATGCGTCTTAATACAACCCATTTTGCCCTTAATGAGACCAATATCTGGGATGGGGCAGCTATGCCACTCCATGATACGTCTTAATACAACCAATTTTGCCCTCAATGAGACCAATATCTGGGATGGGGCAGCTATGCCACTCCATGATACGTCTTAATACAAACAATTCTGCCCTTACTGAGACCAATTTCTGGGATGGGGCAGCTATGCCACTCCATGATACGTCTTAATACAACCGACTTTGCCCTTAATGCGACCAATTTCTGGGATGGGGCAGCTATGCCACTCCATGATACGTCTTAATACAACCAATTTTGCCCTTAATGAGTCCAATTTCTGGGATGGGGCAGCTATGCCACTCCATGATACGTCTTAATACAACCAATTTTGTTTTTAATGAGACCAGTTTCTCGGATGGGGTGGCTATGCCACACCAGGATACGCCTAAACACAACCAATTTTGCCTTCAATGAGACCAATTTCTTGGATGGGGCAGTTATGCCATATCTGTATATGGGAGAGCATCTTAATCGATTAGGGGGGAGTGGGGTAAAGAAAAAAAGACAGAAGAATCGACTAACCTCACTACTGCCTTTACAATCGGTGCTCTGAGCGCGCGCCCCCATGGGAGATTGCCGCCTTCCTAATCTTGTGAGTGCGAGGGTCGGTTCACTTACTACAATCGTATTCAAGCATGTTGAATCCTAAATAGACACCAGCCTTTGAAAGGCATATCAGCGTCTATTTTTTCACCTGCATGTCCTTGTTTTTTGGGGAGCCTTGCAGTTTGGAATCTTCACTTGTGTTACAATCGTCACTTTAATAACAGCCTACCATTAGAATCACCAGATTTACCCATCTTTATATATACCTCTGTAATTATCTCTTCTCCGGGGCACACTAATCTACTCTGCCGACCACTGCTCTCAGACAACCACAACCATTGCTGAGTGTCACACTACGAGATGTCATTTGGTAACCCTCAGCTCACTGGTTACCGCTTAGGCGACTTTCTGCGTAGAATATCATCGGACAGAGAGTTGGCGTCAGACAAGTCACTTCGCGCGCGCCACGCGCATGATGGCACTCAACTTCCAGAATCCCAGCGCATCACGTTGTGTTCCCAGAAATGACCGAATAGTTTCTCTCGACGAGTCGTCGATCTCGCGCAAATTCAATTGTGCGCTAAGAGATATATGATCATACTTCAACTCAGCCGCTTCACGTGGATGTTTTCGAAGTGAACACACAACTTCCACTTAACAAACGATTCCTCATCAACATTGAAATTGGAAGTTGACAAGTACGGAATGCAGTGAGAAACAATGTGCATACTCCTTCACCGTGGAGATTCTAGGGTCCCTTCTCGAGTGTGAGTATCAGCGACGAGCACGCGTTGGGCGCGTGACGCTCACGCTGAAGCCTCGCGTCACTCACAATTCCATCGGTGGTGACACTATTGTGCTCATTTATAATGAGTGATTCGAGTAGTGAAGTTGATGAAAATAGGCTGTCCCTGAGGATTTACTTCATTCCCCGCAGTATTCTGTTAAAGCACCTTCATGAAATCATCTAGTTCCTCACAACTCCCAAGGAGGTCAAGTGAACGTGACACCCATCGTTCGGCTTCGACACCACCCCTGACTAAATTTTCCAAAAGCGGTACGTCTATTTGCCCACCTTCCATCAGAAAAGAAGTCTTCATTCAGATGCAGAACACGCTGAACTGACTCCGAGCCATTCATTGCCTCTTCGCAGTCGTCTAATACGCTCCGAATCTGCGATAGAGTCAGGGCGCAGCGCAGTTCCTGCAGAGTCTTCTCCTGGGGGTCGGCGTCCCTGGCATCGTCGAGCAAGGGAGATCTCCGCAACTCACGAGGTGAGTCGGACCGTCGGTCCTTCGAGTTGTAAGTGACGTCTATCAGAAATTGACGAGAAGGAGAGGCGAACGGGCAGAACCGCAACCACGCGAGTTCCTCGGGTGAGTCGTTGTAGAGATATTTCAAGTTGGTGATTTGTTATATTAGGGAACCTGTAGCTCATCGTCAAGAAGGAGTGCAGGAACCTCCTGAGGCCATGTGGAGTACAACTCCCGCGCGCCCTATGATTCAACCAGCTGCGCCACAGGTCGGGATCGGTCCCTCTTCGTCATCTTCCAGTCAAGGACCTCTAGACCAGCCTGTACCGAGCATTTCTCCTGGGAGGACTCAGCCCAGGGTCCAGGTGGCCTACCTCAGACAAGGTGTTCTGCAACAGCTGCGCGAGAGAGGGTATGTCCCCTCAGCAGAGGCCGACGGTGGTGTTTCTAGTATGGCCGTTGAACAAATCAGACGGTACGTTCCTGTTGATGGCAGTTTGGGGTCTCTACTACACAATGCACAAGGTCACCAATGCGCCCCTTGTTTGTTTCATGCAAAACGAAGGTGCCTACGTGGAATAAAATGTCTATTTTGCCATGAAGATGGTCACGAAGGTTTGCTTAGAGTCAAACAAAGGATAAGACCGAGCAAAAGAACTCGAGAACTTTTGCGGACCGTTCAAGAGCGACGGCCCGACCTTCCACCAGAGGATGTGATGAGACTCATCCAAGAACATAAACGGGAAACTTCCAGTCAAAAGAAATGAGCCAATAGTAGTGCTACTTCGCAATCGTTCCCAATTCGCCGCCTCACGTGAGTCGTTGCGAGGAACGTATTGTCGACTTTAATAAATGATTTCAGTTATCACTTTATAACACATTTTTTCTTCCTGAAGGGCCCTATAGATAAATGTAATCATTTGCATCATCTCCGGTAAGGAGATAATGACCTACGAGGTCTCAGGTACGACGGTTCTTCCCATTTTCATAACATTTTAACACATCTTGTTATTTTTGGACCAAAAATCCCGTCCACACTGTTCCTTGTTCGTGCTTATGCACGGGGGCGACTACTATCTGGCCTCCGCAATACTTCAGGGAGGCCACTTTTCGTACCAAGTTTGCTTTGAGTTGTTAAAAGTTAAGCATCACTATGTTAATCAGTAGGTTTGGAGCACTACTCCACATAAATCGCGTTGTACTGAAATGATGTCGATAATGAAAGCCTCGCTGAATCTCTGTCTTTCCGATCTAAAGACATTCTCGCGATACGAGTATCGCACTCGTTGATGAAAAAAAAGGGTCTCCACACATTACCATATGAGCAGCTCTACCTAGTGATTCCAGATAAGCTACATTCTTCTGTAGAGCTTTAATGCTCTAGAGAATTGCACCGTATGATTGCTTGCTGTTCGTTATGAAAAGGCGTGGCGAATTGGTGCTCATCATCTTATCTCCATAGGTGATAACTCTGGCTCTTATTTAATGTAACATAATCGCTGTGTGTACCATCAGCACATTCCTGACCACTGGACGTAGAACTCAACACAACGATAAAGTCAAGTCTTGTGATGCTTCGACTTCTTTTTCTTTTTCTTCTTTTCACGTTGTGCAATAACAGGCGAATCCCCTTCATCATCACTCCACAAGAAATTCGCCTGGTCGAGGGAACTTGGCCTGAGAGAAAACTATTATTTTCCCAACATCAACTCTTTCATAAACTCACATGGCCACCACTTCTCGAAGAACTTGCATTTGTTTTTCTCGTCGAAGCATCCGCCCTGCATGTCGCTCCTGAAAACGTTTCCTCCGTACATATCTTCAAACCAATAGACGTACTTTTTCTCGAGCATGTTTAGCTCTTTCTGCTTCCCAAAAGTCCTCTTCATTTGACCGGTGTTCTCTCATTGCCTCCGATTCGTGTCTACGATGGCGTTTCCGACTCTCCTCAACTACACCAAACCAGAGTGATATTCTATACACGTATATGTTGTGAACTCCAGAGGACTACGATTTCATAACGATCATCATATCATACAGAATTAGAATAAAATAGAGTAAAAAGATCATAAAAAGTAGTAAAATAAATGAATCTAACAGCAAAAAATACGTCACCAATTACACACACAGTTGTTGGAGTAGGAATATATGTTCGCTTTCCTCAGCTGAGCTCAGGAGGAGTTTCCAATGCTGATTATAGAGATTCACAAACGAACTAAGAAATTCACAGAAAGTTGTCAGAATTCCCAAAATTTCCTCTCATAATTTTCATTTCGTCACCAACATGTGTAGTTGTCCATGTGCATATTTCCCCACAGTTTTTAACAGCGGCGACGATCCCTCAACACAAATGTGCAATAACGATCCTCCTTACCAGATTGTTGACTCCTGCTGGACTCTCGCTTCAAGTGTCGCCGCTTTTGCTCGTTCTCCTCCTCGTCGGCCTTGAGCGCCCACATAGCTTTCTTCTCCAGGAAGACGTTGTGCGAGTTGGCCTGAGAGTGGTATTGGAATATGTATTACTTTTCCGGGAATTTCCTCAACAAATTATGGAAATTCACACGCGACTTGAGGTAGAGGTTTACAGGAGCCAACAACATGATGGGAAATCCGGGGAAAATTTTCTCGTTGGAAACAAAAAAATCCCCAGAATTTCTTAATACTTGTCATCAACACTTATTGTTGAGTTTGCGCATATTTTTCCCAAACTGCCTAAGGACGAATAATTTTCCAACTTTTATGCGCAAAACGGTTCAGATTTTTGCAAAAAAAATCTTTGGAAATATTTTTTTCCTCAATTGAGCTCACCTGATCTAGCGCGTTTCTAACTAACGATTTGCCTTCTTCAATAAGCGGACGTCGAGCCATTTTAAATGATGAAACTGCAGATGATTTTGTCGTACAAAAAAAGAAAAAACACATTTCACCCGAGAAATACTGGTATTTATCACTACAATTTCATTTCTTTACCGACACAATCGTTTCAACTACCACCTAAAAGTTACTCATGAATAATGAGTCGCATTTCTTCGCAATTTAGTAAACTGTCCTTAGGTGCGTCCAGAACGCCGATCGCGATGATTATGTCTAAGTACTTCAAAAAAACTGGAGATAATTTTCCCCTTTTAAAACAATCTGCATAATTCAACCCAAATTCCTCTTGCATTCAAACGAGATACAATACTGCAAGTTTACTAGAGTGAACTCAACATCCTCCAAGATTCGGTGAAAATTCTCACTACTATAACAACGCAACTAGCAGAAGCTTGCTTTGGAGATTCATGTATGTAGCACTTGATATGAGGGAGAGATGGGAGCAGTCTACAGTTGATAATAACGTGAGAGAATCGATTGAATTTAACTTCAAAATATGCACATGGTCAACTACATGTGCTGATGACAACCAGAAAATTGCGGGGAAATTATTTGGCAATGGATTTCGTTACTCTCAATTGAGAGTAACGAAACCCCGATCAGATCGATTGAGTTTCATTGAATGACAACATACGAACTTCATACAAGTCATGGTGGCTGGGATATTAGAGGGATAGATCGATACACCCTTAGTGTGATTTCTCTCTCCAGAAACCGCGTCAATACTAGAGCAAGAGACCTAGTAGTTGCAGTTAGGGATATTTGATGAGAGTTTGTAAGTAGTAGTATAGACAAGCTTGAAGGGATGTGAACACACCCGATATCATGCGTGAACTGCAGCGTTCCAAATGCTTATCGTTGAATTCAAAACTTTGTTATCAATGGAGTCTCACCACCCTAGTGATCTGAGAAACACTAGTGAAAACATGTTTCACGACAACTGCATATCACCGCGAATATCGGGGTTTTCGCGGAGATTTACGACGCCACTTCACGTAAAACGGGTTGTGGAACTCCATTCATTATTCGATCATGCTGCCTCAAAATATGAGTATAAGATCAGCCATATCGAACCAGTAATTTGTATATCAATTTAGTGAACTGAAAAATAAATAACTGATAAATAACTACTCAATGTCAGCCCGGCCGAGGCGCCCGGACTACAAATCGATTGTCTGGGCGCACGCGAATGCTCTAGACCTGGTTGAGTTCCACGGGAGTCGGAAAGACATATGTTCAGAGGGGTGTCTTATGCAGCTGCTAGCAATGAATGTCTTATCTCTTCACTTGCGGCAACTATAACTCAACCGCTCTGTTTCTGGCGAGCTTTCTTATGGCACCGTTACAGGACTGTGAGAAAGTGTGCTCACCATAGCAAGTATATTGTCATATCCTTGCTATGTAACGCAACGGTAGGAGCCATATTAGAAGAGTACAGATAGAGGTTGGCCAGAGACCAGCAGAGTATATCCAATAGCAGATATAATACCACAAAGAATGGCAACCGTGGGGTAATGGGGAATCTAACGGTTTCACGGTTACACATTAAGGCGGGCGATATACAAAGATACTGAGAGTGAGAAGCTTACGAATCTCATACCCCGCCCTTCCTAGAAATTGCACATATATAAATACACAAATATCGTCTCATATATTTCCTTCCAACTTGATCACCGTAGCGATACTCGTAGAGGGATTGAACATGACGACAGATTCGTCAAGGGACTGGCAACCGATGACTTCGACAGTAGTTAGATCACCCACTGCATGGGCGATAGACAAAGGTTGACCTTGGAGTTGTCCCGTTGGAAGTTGGATGCCAGCAGACTCCATCAACTGATTGGTGGTAAGGGTAGGAACGGTCGACTCATCAATCCTAAATACATCATCCTCGACGACTCGACTGCTGCCGTAATAACGACGCAGATTGTGAGTATCTTCAGTACTGCCATCACCCAAAATCACAGTACCACGACCTAGAACCGCTTGGATAGAGTAAGGACCAATCCACTTAGGCTGCAATGGTGTGCCAGCTGGGAAGTACTTCATCACTAGATCTCCTGGGCGAAACTGACAGCCTCGACGGGAACCGACCGCATCAGGAGGGTTAGAGTCGTGGAAGTGTAGGAGACTATCCACAGCACGTCGACGGGCCTCATGGACTCGGATGGCCTCCTTGATAATGTCATCAGAGAGCTGCTCTCCTTGAGGTTGGAGTTCTCGTGCAAGAGGTCCCACATCATCCCATCCGAAGAATAGGAAGAAGGGAGTAGCCGAACCGTGTGAGAGATCAACAACCCGACGATTACATCGCTTCTCAGCCTTACTGAGAAATGCAGACCAATTAGTGGGAGCATTACCGGTTAATGCTCTAAGGCAGCGCTTGACCTCTGCCTGTTGTCGTTCCAGTCGAGAGTTTCGCCATGGGCTGTATCTGGGAGCATATCGGACCAGACTTCCAGTACGACAGGCCCACAGCCTGAAGCAACGGCTGGTAAACTGCGGACCATTGTCGGTATAATAGCTTAGCGGGGATCCATACCGATCCACAAGGTCGCGCTCGAGAACAGCGGTGACTGTAGAAGTTGTTGAAGATGGTAGAGCCCATAGCCAGAGGAAACCGCTACTGCTGTCCAAGGCACTCAAGATGAACCTGCAAGCCTTCTTATATATTGGGTGATTGCTGGGTTCTAAGGGCCCCACGAGGTCGAGGTAGACGCAGTCCAAAACGTGCCTGGCTGGAGTCATCTTGCCACCAGCGCTCTTAGTGGTTCGTCTAGAGGTACAATGAGCACAGCTGCATCTTCGAAGGATACTCAGTGTGATCGGTCTCAGACGAGGATGATAGAAGGAAAGTCCCACCATGTGTATGATGGCTTCAGACCCAGCGTGACCGATGGTAGCATGGTGGAAAAGAATAACCTCCTCCACGATACTCTCAGGTAGAACAACCTTGGAGTCGCCAGTCACATAGAGACCGTGACCATTTTGAGTATAAGAAGACGTGATCCACGACTCGGCAGCTTGAAGAGCCTTCACCATTTCCTTGCAGTTACCATTGATCATCATGTCAGCAATACGTCGTATTTTCGCTTCCTCATCGTCGTCCTCCTCAACAGACTCGACATTGGTATCAGATGAGCCTCCTTCGCCCGTAGCCTTGGTAGTAGTAGAGCCGACCTCAACCATCTTGGCTTTGGCACCTTCATCCTCCTTCATCTCTCCCTGTAGTGAGGCAGCATCATCTACGGTATTGCGGCATAGGTCGCCGATATCGGTGATGGCTCGAGGGTCGAGAACGATGTCCAGAAGATTGCGGCGGGCGGGTGAGGATGGGCCTGTAGTTGAGGACTCACCTGCAATAGATCTCGCCAGAGCGTCAGTCCATCTGGGTGCACCAGTCCTCGGAATCCAGACGGTCTTCGTCACATAGCGAGTGTAGACTTCCCATTTGGTTAAGATGGCACCGGAGAAGGTGTCGGCAATATTGTTCCACGAACGGCATCCGTTGATGTTGTCGATGAGAAGTGTGGTTGGACCTTGTAGTTCATGAACGCAGTCAACCACGGCTTCGATAGCAGCAACTCTTTCACGCCATGTCGAACTCATACGCTGCTGAGTAGCATCCCAGCATCCACCAGTGAGCTTCGCAGGAAGAAGGGCGAACGGTTGGGGCTGAGGAGTATCGAACAGCACATCAGTGGTTGGGAAGTCAACAGGTAGAGAGGCAGAATGGGCCAGCTTGCTGTTGGGGTCGTCAAGGGTTACCGCGATGAGGACTACAGCGGACCAAGAGGCGGTGTTGCTATCAGTGAGCAGAACCGTGCCAAGCAGGCGATCACCCAACGATGTGGCGAGGAGTCCCGGGAGTCCAGAGAGATAGAAGGCGACAAGTGTGTAGAAGCTCTCCTTGAGTCGATCATAGAGGTCGTCGGGAGCTTCCCCATTTTCCTTCTGGAAAATGGACTGTGCCTTCTGTATGACAAAAAGGGCTGACATGGCCTCAGGTCCTAGAAATCCTCTGAAGTAGTTGAACACTCCAAACCACTTACGGAGCCAGGCTAATCTCGCAGGTCGAGGGTCGCCACGGTCAGCAGGTTTGAGGGTAGGCTTCTTGAACTCGGACCACGCCATAGATGCCGTCGTGTCAGTGAACTCGAAGCGAGTGGGCTCCATGGAGCAACACCCATTCGTCAAACGCAGACCACAGAAGTTGACCGATGATGATGGCGGAATGGACTTGGCCTCGTTGACCAGGAAGTGGAGGGTTTCCAACTCTTCACGAGCCACAGATACCGCGGCGTGGCAGCTGTTGGTGTCAAGTGCGGCCACGATAACGTCGTCTTTATTGTGCCTGACAATAGCTTTTATGCACTCCTTCTCCAAACGGTCGTTGATTCGGTCAATAGGGATTTGAATGGAGGAGTTGAACAACACACTGCTCCATATCCACCCTTGTGGTAGTACTCGCATCTTCCACCACGTCGAATTGCCGGAGGGGTCTCGAGTGACCAATCCGAACAAAGCAGAGAGCCTCGGAGGGAGAAGTATAGATGAGTACGCATCAGTGACGTCAACCTTTGCATATACGGAGTATGCATACGGGATGCTGCCAATCTTTGACAGAGCACTAGGCTCAGACTGACGGTAGGCTGCTTTACTGGCAGACTCACTCACCACTGAGGCACCAGGGACAAAAAGGAAACGACCATTAGAGTCATGGGTCAGGACAAGCCGGTTGATCACGCGACAATCCAGGGTGATTCTATAGCGAGAATCAACTGCGGGATCCGGATACCTTCGGGGGTTGGCGTCACCAGAACCAGTCCGATTGACCTTGTCGACGATCACAGTAGCAAGCACGGTAGTACATTCACCTTCGGAGCATCGCATTACCTTGCCTTCTCGCTCCATGGTGAGCAATCGATGATGCTCGATGCGCTGGTCGACATCAGACTTGCGACGCAGCTTCTCGCGATAGGGATAGACAGGAGCACACTCTAGTGGTTCGCAACGGCATCTTACACGCTGGCTCCCGGGTGACCGATCATCCTCTACCACCTCGGCGAGGGGGCAGATAGGTAGGGTATCCACCGCAACGCGGTGAGCGGCCAAACGAGTAGCAGATGGTTGATTGATAGACTCGATGCTGGAAACATCCGCGCCCGACCGTGACGATAGAGCCAAACCAAGAGTAGGGAACATATTCGTCCCAATGAGGATGTCCGGATCAGCGCCATCACAGACCAGGAACTTTAGATGGCCGGTGCATTTGCCGCTAGCGAAAGCAACCTTGGCCACATGAGTACCACGGAGTGAGTTTCCGTCAGCCACACCAACGGCAATGTCGTTGTTGAGGGTGGTGACATCACTGGGGTCTAGCACTTTAGACTCCAGAAGGTAGCCTAGGAGTCCTCTGCTCATGAGGGAGACATTGGCTCCAGAGTCCACCAGAGACTCTGCGTGGCAAACACGCTCATAGTCACCTCCCAGCTTCAGACGCACATGTGGCTGAGTACCACCTCTGACGTTGGTCTGGTCCTCGAACGCCGCTGCTGCCTTGGCCGTTATAATGGCGCTGCGAGCAGAGGCAGTAGGGAATTTGCTGATGAACTTGGATAAAGGATCTGGCTCTTGGGATGAGGCCGATGAAGCTGCTACTGCTGACTGTTGAATACTACCAGTGTTGGTGTTGGGAGCAGGGGCTCGACACACACCAGCTACATGCCCTTTGCGACGACAACGAGAGCATATAACTCGCTTGGGAGAAATGCGACAGTGATGTTGGCTGTTAGAGGCCTTGATATCACCACAGGCTCCACATCTCTCGGTTCGACGGTGTATACTCTCCACTGGAGCAGTGCAGTCTCGGGCAAAATGTCCCACACCAGAGCATCGCAGACAACCATTCTGAGGGATACCGAGGGTACCAGAGATGGCGGTATGAACCTTAGCATAGCAAAGGTCAGTGTCCAGGACGAGTGACTTGGCAGACTGACGAGGCTTGCCACCGGAGTTAGTGGTGGTAGCGGTAGTCGGTGGATAAGTCGCTTGGGTAGTGGTAATGGCAGTAGTGGTTGTGAACAAGCCTTGTTGCTCAGCGTTAGAGTAGAATGACTTGAATGTTGCTTTGAACTTCTCGTAGTCGAGTATGCCGCTTGGGTTGGTCATCGCTAATGCCAGCTTGCACTTGGGACAAGTGAAGCCGCGTTGAAGGAGAGCAATCTTATCGATCGTAGATACCTTACCTTCCCCGGGGTAAGTCATCTCCCTCAGATGGAGTACATGCTCGAACTCCTTGATATAGTCATACGGTGACTGATTAGGTGACTGCTGAGTAGATACCCAACGATTCTGTAGGGCACACTTTTCGGCGACGGTGAGGAATTCGTCGTCGAGGGCTTGAAGGATAGTGTCGCAGTGGCCCACTGCGCTACG